AAGTTTTATCAAAATTGGTGACCAGTCATGGCAAAGAAATAAAGCGGTAACAGTGAATGGCTATTAACACTAAACTACATATTTCAGGAAATGGGTTTCTCTCGATCTCAGGCTGAAGAAGCGATAAAAAAGCATTCCACAGTACAGGCTGCTCTGGATTCACTTCTGGCAGGTGTCGGTATGTACAGTTTATAAGTCCATGTTATTTTCTGTTGTTCAATCTTACTGGTGTAAGTGTGTAAAGTTACTTAAAAAAGGAGCTTGAAAAGCCACATTAGATTTCTATGATGCAATTTTGTGAGAAAATAGAAAGATGTTCTTGGTGTAATTATACTGTAAATTCAAATTGCATCTGTTCCTTAATGATTTTAAGAAAGCAAATTTTTTTTGAAGTGTAGTCTCTTGATACAAATAGTGCTTCATGTTGTACAAGTATGAATTATTCAAAGTTTATTTGTTCGGATATAGCGGAAAATGCTCTGGGCGGTGAAGTTTACGTCTCTGACGACGATTCAGGTTTTACCACTCCATCCCTCCCCAAGCCCCAAGCTCAGAAAGATGTCACAAAGATGGAGTAAGTTTGTTAAAGCTGTAGTTTTTGTTTTTATCAATAAATACTGATTATAAAGGACTTGATTATTTATCAATGTATTTAATTCTGCTGATTTTTTAGCCCACGTAATCCGGAGGGCCTAACAGCTCTATGGGTCGGAAATGTTTTACCAGATAAAGTAGACGATAAAAAACTTTTGAAAATCTTTTCTAGGTGAGTATGAAATTGGAAATGCTATTACAGATATAAAGTTATTTAATGATTTTAAAGAAAGAATAACCCATTTGGTTTTTTTTTCTATCAGATATGGATCTGTGACTAGTGTTCGGACTTTACCAGAAAAATTCTGTGCTTTTGTAAATTTTAAAACGAAGGAGGCTGAAGGGAAAGCCATGCAAAGTTTACAGGTGAATATTTATATTTCTCAGGTGTAAAAGATTGGTTTACAGGTAAATTGTTCATATTTTTATGGTGTAAAAGATCGGTTTACAGGTAAATTGTTCATATTTTTATGGTGTAAAAGATCGGTTTACAGGTAAATTGTTCATATTTTTCTTGTGTAAAAGATCAGTTTACAGGTAAATTGTTCATATTTTTCTGGTGAAAAAAATCGGTTTACAGATAAATTTCCCTCTTTTTTTCTTGTGACTGTGATCATTTTATGGGGGAATTTCTGAATGGAGAATTTTACGGAAAAATGAATAAAACTTTCATGCAAAATGTTTTCAAAAATATATCTTAAATGCAAACTCATAGTTTATTCAAAATTAACTTTATGTGAGAAACAATCATTCATAACGGAAGGATGTAAACAACTCTGAGAAAAATGCCTCATATTTTTGTGTCAGTGGTTAAGAGAGAGCTTCTCCCTCAGATTTAGTGAGAATAAGAAAATTTATTAATTATCTAATAATTAATATAGGGAGCAGAATGTGGAGGCCAGAAGTTACTGATAAAGTTCCCTGACAACCCCATAGTAAATAGTGGTACACTTACGATACGGAAAACCCCCAGTACCAGTAGCCCCCAGCAGAGACAGACATTTGTAGGGTGAGTCATTAAAGAGGGGGGGTAGACTTAAAAAACACTAGGGTAATAGAGGGTGAAAGAGAGGAGGAGGCAAGACTCAACCAAACAATAGGGTTATACATGTTTATACCAAACAATAGGGTTATACATGTTTATACCAAACAATAGGGTTATGCATGTTTATACCAAACAATAGGGTTATACATGTTTATACCAAACAATAGGGTTATACATGTTTATACCAAACAATAGGGTTATACATGTTTATACCAAACAATAGGGTTATGCATGTTTATACCAAACAATAGGGTTATACATGTTTATACCAAACAATAGGGTTATACATGTTTATACCAAACAATAGGGTTATACATGTTTATACCAAACAATAGGGTTATACATGTTTATACCAAAAAATAGGGTTATACATGTATATACCAAACAATAGGGTTATGCATGTATATACCATATTTCATTCTAAAGAGGTAGGTGTAAGCTTTTGAATGCAAACAGAAATTCAAAATATTATTTTAAAAATGACTCAGACTTTTGGAGTACACTGCAGATGTGTACATTGTTTAATAAACAATATTTTGAATGCATAAAAGAAAAAAAAATCCACATTTTTACTGAGCTTTTGATGCATGCATACACTTTCAGAAATCAGCTGAATGTTTGCATCTCAAACATCAATATCTGTGTTATAAGTGATTCTTCCAACTTGCTTCATGATATTTATATCATGGAGGTTTGGGATGCAAAGATTTAACTGTATATCAAGTAAAAGAATCATTGTTCTAGTCCTAAGGAATTTATGGATGTAGATTTCAAGTGTGTCGATATCATTGTGTTGTTACAATACATGGATAGTTTATATATAGCCTTCTCAATCACTGCCTTCCTACTATTTCCTTGTGTAAAAACCAGGTGGATTTGCATGATTTCGTTGCCAGATCATTTTATGCATCATTTAGTTCTAGTGAAAGTTAATCAAATTTAAGATTAATATTGATTTAAATGACATAAAGTCATTTGAAATAAGTTGTGTCCATTATTATTCTTTCATTAAAAATCTGCATTCACTGTACATTGCTTTCTGATTGCAATAAAGTATTAATGGTAATATGTAGAGCAGATATCAGGTTTAGGCTCAAAAGAATTTTCAAATGCTTGACTCTTAGTATTTGATTTGACAACTCTGGAGAGTTCAAAAGAGGAATTTCTTAATCAAAACTGAATTTCATTAGATTTTAAAGCTCTTTTTTTCAAAAGAAAAAGTTTGATTACATCATAAACAACTAAATTTTACAGACAAAGTTTTATACATACAAAGTCAGTGTCATCTTCTGACTTCATTATAGACAAGACAGGACTTGTTCATCTTCCATTTGAATTCAAAATACAGGAATCATTTTGCTTTATATGTTTTTCTCTAATACTTCATTTTACATGTAACTGGGCTTGGAGATTCCATAGATTGTTGAGACTTTAATTTAGAAAGTATTGAATTATCACTATCAGTCTTCATGGTCTTTATCAGAAAATACTTTTAGTTGAACAGTAAAGAATACAAAATATCAGTCCAATGTTATTTTTTAAAAAAAATTTTAATGTGACAATTGTGTGCAACACACAGAATATTTAGAATGTAAAAAGAAAGCAAATTAATTGATGCTAAATTATGAATTTATTGACTGCCTTTTTTACATAGGTACCTTGGACTTCTTGAATTTGTTATTAGCAATAGGATTCAAGATTAAGCTTATCTTCAGCATGCCTAGAGTGATATGAATACATGTATATTGAATTTATGAAAAGGCCCAAACTTGCTTGCACATTTTTAAAACATTTTGTTCAATCACCTTTCAGTTCATCCGAATCATAAGCTCCAATGACAGAGCTTTTCTGACATATGCACCTATGTTTATATATCTGACAAAATCTTTTCATAATCTCATTTTGTTCTATGCAACCATATCACAGAAAGGTAATTTTAAGAGAACTTGCCACAAAAAAAGATGTTGGTTTTAGATGCCACATGTCATTGCAAACTAATTGATCCTGAAATAAATAAATTTATATTCAACCTTCATTTATATTTTCATTTAGAACATCTCGGAAATTTCACATAAAATGGTAAGAAAGTCTTTTTGATCACTTCATTCTCCATTTTTTTTTTTCTAATCAATGTTCTTTTTTCTTATCGGTGTCATTGGAAGTGGCTTGTTGTCATACAATAAAGAATTTTCATCCCAAGATCGCTTTCATCTCACAGAGTTATATATGAAGGGGAATATTTACCATGTTTACAGTGACAAAATATTAAAATGAAGATAAAGAAATTTATTACTGCAGCACATGAATTAGCAGTAGATGTAAGGTTCAACTAATGCTTCTTGTCTTGCAGTCTACTATGGCTTTATATGCATGTTACGTGGCTTATTTGCTTTTGACTTAGGAGCTGTGTTATGCATATCAGTGGAACTTGTCATGTCTCTGGGCACAATGTGGCTCTTATCATGCTTGGCTATTAAATGTTAATTAATTCTTTCCTTAAATTTAATGCAAGAAATATTGTATTTGAATTTTTTTTTTAATTAAAAAATCAGAGTAAGTTAAAATGATTAGAATTTTTGTTAGAAACAATCCACTTCCATTTTTGTCATGAATCACTGGTAAATATCTCTAGGTCAGTGCATCTGCTTTCTTTAATTTGCTATCTACAGGGTGTTACAAAAATATATTCCCATTGTGCTTGTTAAACATGTTAAAAAGATAAGCAACTTTTGATATTTTTTTCAAATGAATGTTTCATAGATTTGAGTTTAAGTCTACAAGGAGACAATATTTTGGATATGGAAATGTGTCCAACCATATTAATTAATTTATCTGCATCATGTCTAGGTTGAATTTATTTCAATGTGTGCCTCAACATGATGTACACTGTATGAAAACCAAATATTTTGGATGTAATAAAGACTTTGATGAAGGCTTATGAAGAGTTCAATCCTTTAGCATTAATAGTATTGGTATAATATCATTACTGGTGTAAAGATTTTCATTGCAGTCTTTGATTGTCAGAGGAATTATACAAACAAACCATGAATAGATGTAAATCTGAAACAGATTTTGATATCATACATATAAAACAGGTTTTGGGAAAAAAAATTTTGAATTTGCTACTACAATAATTGAAAAATAATAATAGGGGTGGAATTGGTATATTTTGTACAATGTCAGTATGCATTTATTTATTCAATGTGCATGTTTATTTTCTTATTTTTAACAAAAAAGTTTCTTAGTGGTAAAATGACTTTGTCCAAAAATGTTGTCTGTCATTGTTAAATTTCAAGATTTCTTTTCATTATCACCTATAACTTGAAATCAGTGTGTCTGACATGAATTTTAAATTTAAAATTCTAAGAAAGATAACTCTCCGTCGAGTATGATTGAAGAGGTATAGATGGGTGAATGAATGCACATACCTTTTAATATTGATTTAATTATTAGACAGTATAGATGGATCATGTGACACACAAGTATGAATTAAAGCTTACAAGAAAAGTGTACCATTGAAAAATTGTCATCAATGTAGCAATATTTTATCACAAAACCTTAGAGTTTTCACAAGGAACTTTTTGCTCAATAATTGTCAATGAAACCCCCCTGGGAGAATCAAGGGCTGTTTCCAGGAAAATTTCAATAGACTTTCTTTCAATAAATTGTGTTGAGGTTTTTCAAGAAACTTAGAGAAAGTGTACCATTGATTTATAGGTTTTCAAGTAGAATTGAAAATTATTTCTTTGACAGTGTATACACTTTTTATTGAAAGATATCTGTTAAATTATTAACAGAAAAAAGTTCCTCAAGGAATATACAAAAAGAATTTTGCAGTACTTGACCTTGGACAGGATACCATTATTAAATTACTTGTTCTACCCCAAGAAATTGCTGAAAAACAGGCGCACAGCTAAAATTCATAATATTTCATCTGTGGTTAAACAAAAAACATTTGATCGTATGATTTGTTACACTGAAAATGGACTTGTTCAGAGATAGGCACCACTTATCAAATGATTTGCCCGCCAATCAAAATAGGTTGTCCTGGGCGTGGGGCCATGTTATCTGTCGAGCCCTGTGTAGAGAGTGTTCTCTTTATATTTCCAGAAAAGCGGTCTCTGCCCAATATCAGAACTCTACAGCAGTGACCAGTACAGCAGTGGAACAGAAGATCACCACGGGACCCGTGAACGGGGACGAATGTTATTTCTGGAGAACCACGGGGTGTTCTTTCGGGGACAAATGTCGCAATAAACACTTATCCTCCAGCAAAGGAGTGGACAAAAAACCGTGGCAGAAAACGTAGCAAATCTAGCGTCTAAATACAATTCACAATACCAGGTTGTCTTTCTCTAGGTGCTGCGTAGGTAACCATAAATTTTTTGGAGATTTTTTTTTAATAAAGGTTAAAATAAATTCATGTTATACATGTACCAGTATGTGTTTTAAATGTTTTAGATAAACATGTATAATGGATGACATGTAAATAAGTTCAGGGAGTTTTTAAAAATTGTTTTATCTCTAAATCGGCTGAATAACAGCAAGACAAATCTTTTTGATATTCATGAAGTCAAAATTACATCCAATTCATCTTGCAGTAAAGACATTAGATCTATTGGTACACTGCGCTCAAGTTCACCTTTACACATGGGAAAAATATTCATGGCAACTTGTAAAAAAAAATTATTTTTCTGAGATCTGAAAAGATAATTATTTTGGGTTTCCTGGAATTGTGATTGTTTTTATTATAATTTTGTTTCTTAATGTATACAAAAATATTTTATGGCCAAAGTTTGTATCAATATCAGGACAAAGATTCTCTCATTAACTAGTCACATGTTTATATCAATATTTACTATTACCTATGTATTTGCAAGGTATAGTTATCCTAGAGTTGTCTTCTCCTGGCTTGAGGTCAGGCAGCATTAAGAAACTGGTCAATCTTGTTTATTATAATATTGTTGACTATTTTTGTATTAAGGGCATTATGCAGCCAAAAAACATGACTTTGTTTAATGTTTCTGAACACCCAGTATTGTTTCAATATATTTACAAAAAGTTTTTATATGACATGGTTAGTTGTAGTATTTTAAAAAAACTTGTAAGAATTGATTTTTTTCTGCTGTATTTTTTTTTGTAGGTTCTCGAAGACCTGGTAATTAAATTTTTTTTTAAATTGAAAAAAAGATAGGTCAGAAATTTATTGGAAATTAATCCTCATTGAGATATTGCCTGATGATGATTTTATTACCAGTACTTTATGTTTGGCTATTATTTTAGGTTGCAATCTCTGATTTCTATTTTTCTTAAATGTAGTATAGCATTGTTCATATAATGTCTCTATATAACAATGGTGATGTTGACATTCAGTGATTCAAGTGTTCAGAAATGCTTCCTTCTTGCAAATGTTTAAATGTGATAAATTCTGTCATATGAAAATGAAAGAACTCCACATGTTTTGTGTATTCCGTTTATCCACGGAGGAAAATTATCTCGAAATTATTTTAATATGCATTTATGATTTTTGCAGAATTATTCAACTTGCTTTATAAACATACCTCTTTTTTAAAGAATGTGCATTTATTTATGTAATTCACTCTGTAAATTAAAATGTGAAAAATATTGATGCTTGAAAATCGAAAACATTTTCAGCAAGAGTTTAAAAAAACTACAGATCTGTTCAAAGTTAGGAATTTAATTACTGTTTAAGGTTGGATTGAAAATTTGATGTGAGGACATAATCTCCTAGTGATATATTTACAGACTGTCACAAATTGTATTCCGTTATAAATGTATAAACATGCACAAAGGGTATAAAAAGATTAACTGTATTTACTTGTTGAATTTGAAATGAAACTTTAATTTATCAGAACTTAATTCCTTGAACAATTTAAGATTTTAATAACTTCAATGATACATATCTCTTTATTGACAGAACATACATTATTATATACTGCAACTAACATGTCACAGATTTCAAGACAGAATTTTTGTAAATGTTTTTGTAAATTCATAAAAATATGTTTTTTTCAAAATTCTTTTCAAATTATTTTCAATTCTGAAGTCAGATAATTGTATAAATCGTCATACTGTATAAATATTTTTCCCGATTTTCTTTTGCTCTGTATCATTAATAAGTTGGAATTTTCTTTGAATATATCAGTGATGTAGACTTTGACTGGAACCTTGGTGAACTCTCATATATTACAGTCAAGTTACTATGTCACTAATTCCACTTTTCTGACAATTGTAGCTCTCTGAGACAGAAACTTGGACAGATTTACACTACCATGACTGTGTAAACTTTATTGTCCTGGAGAGAGAAATTCTGCAGCTACTACTTTTCCAGCATCATTCAGAGCAATGACCTTAAAATTGTTACAGAATTAAATGAAAAAAATTTCATGTATTTTAACATATAAGAGTTTTAGCAAGAAAGGTTGCACAAAATATTGGATATCAATTTATTATGCTTTTTCAAATTTTCAAAAAAATGGTACGGCTTAGCCAAAATTTGCTTAAAATGTGTACATGTAAGAAAGTGTTGGAACTTTGTTGATATTTGTTATTAGTTGTACAAAGGTGCAGGTGTTTTTATGAGAGATGTATGTGTAAAATATTTATTTCTCAAATTGGACATCTTCCATTAAATACTTCGTTCAAACTGGTAATGGAAACCATTTTTATTTTTTAAAAATGTGTATCAAACTTTTATAAAGTAAAGTGAGAAAATAAAATATGTTGATGAATATATGAAATATATTACTTTTTGTTTGCTTAGTTGATGTAATGTTGCCCATTTAGACAATCACAAGAGCACAAGTGCTCCAGGAGTTTTAACTCACCTCAACACAATGTTATCATTTTTATGCTACCCATTAGATCCTCCCCCAGCTTCAGTGTCCCAGTTAAAGTTTAAGTATTTTAAAAGTTTATTTCTCAGTAAGTTAATATATTAGTCCATCCTGACCAAAACTAGCCTGGATGAGATCTCTAGGGATGGACACTTCCAGACTTGCTTTGAATTTTGGTTCTGACATATACATTTTCGAGATAAGTGTTTTTAGCTCTACTGGTCAGAGACCAGAAGAGCTTATGTGATAGTAATGCGTTTGGCGTCCGTCCGTCTGTCTGTCTGTCTGTAAACAATTTTTCAAAATGCTACTCCTCCTAAAGTTTTGATCTGATTTCAATATAACTTAGCATATAAGTAGACTACACTAAGATACTTAATTTTGTGTATTGGTTTTGTTGGTATTGGTTTTGTTGTCGGTGTTGGCGTTGTTACTAAAAATAGAAATTTCTGTGAAATTCTTTCAAAATGCTACTCCTGCTACAGTTTTGGTCTGATTTCAACACAACTTGGCATATAAGTAGACTGCACTAAGATACATAATATGTATCGGGTTTTGATTTGGATGAACGGTGTAGGCATTGTTACTAAACATAGAAAATTCTGTAAAAATTCTTCCAGAATGCTACTCCTCCTACAGTTATGGTCTGATTTCAATATAACTTGGCTGATAAGTAGACTACACTTATATACATAATATATACATAATTCTGTGTATCGGTTTTTGATTTCGACGAACAGTTTTTGCGTTGTTACTAAAAATAGAAATTTTAGTGAAATTCTTTTAAAATGCTACTCCTCCTACAAATTTAGTCTGATTTCAATATATAGTTTAGAACACAAGTAGACTATACTTTAAAAATACATACTTCTATATATTGGTTTTTGATTTTGTAAAATTCTTTCAAAATTGCTACTCCTCCTACAGTTATGGTCTGATTTCAATATAACTTGGCATATAAGTAGACTTCACCAAGATACATAATTCTGTATTGGGTTTTGATTTCAACGAATGGTGTTGGCGTTATTACTAAAAATAGAAATTTCTGTGAAATTCTTTCAAAATGCTACTACTCCTTTTGGTATGATTTCAATACAACTTGGCACACAAGTAGACTATACTAAGGTACATAATTCTTTATATCCGTTTTTGACTTCAATGAACATTATTACCTTGGTTAATAAAGATAGCAATTTCTGTTACTCTCAAAATGCTACTTCAAATACAGTTTTTGTCTGATTATAATATAATGTGGCATGCAAGTAGACTACACTGAGAACATAAATAGTACTTTCCTCTTCCTTTGCTATAAATACAAACCAGTAGAGCTTCAGTCTCGACAGAGACTTCTGGTTTTGGGAATAGCTCTTTAATTATGTTATTAGTTCTGATTTAACCTTTATGGATGATGCAAATAGGGATGGACGCTAATAGGGCTGTGTATTGAGTTAAGAATTTCAATACGATACAATACAATATTTTTAAAGTGATATGCGATAGATTTGATTCTAAAACAAGTCCATCAGAAAAGGCTTCTTGATCATTTTTATGCATAAATTTCATAACAATTAAGTGTTTTATTACCCATTTTAAAGTTCATGTCTCATTGTCTATACAAATAACACTTCAAGATAAATCTTTTGACGACAGTAAAATCAACATGTTCAAATAATTTAATTTTACTTGTAACACGCCATTTGATTGGATTAAAAATTTTATTCATTTTGTATAACATAACTTGCCTACGTCACAATGAGTTACGTCAAAAAACGTATTACTCCGCTAGACGTTACTTTTAAAATTAAATCATTACAAGTTTGGCTTTCCAGAAAGCCCGAAATGTCATCTCTTTGGCTTCATTAATGTCACAGAATAAACAGTAAAGTGTAATTTTTTTCTCAACTATTACAGATTTTTCTATTCTTCTGGGGAAGGGGAGTGGCAGCTTACCTGAACAATTTCAGATTAGGAAAAAGGACAGTGATCAAAATCTTATGCTGTGGATGAGAAGGGAATATTTTGATTTTTTTTTTCGAAAAACAAATTCATTTTGTTAAGTACATGACTATACTCGAACAAAAAGTGTGGATAAGGGAGGAGCTGGCATTGAACAATTACAGCAGTAAAAATTTAAAAGATCTGGTACACAGATTTGTAGATCTGATTTTCTAAAATTGTTTAAATAATATCACGATTTATATGTTGCAATAGCATTTTACACTGCATGAAATATACTAAAATAATGCTTCAAAGTCTCTTTTATCTGAAAATTATCAAAGCTACAAACTTTGAGACAAGTTTCATTGACATATATCCTAGCACTTTCACAAAGTAAGCTTAATCCATGATAGAGATAACTCTTTATGACAAAAGTGCCCATTATCAGTTAATAAATTTGTCAAATGGAAGAGTTTTTTGTGCAATTTTGCCCAGTAAGCCATGCTATAATTGA